GTTTTTCTTACTTTTAGTCTTTCTAAGTATTATTATTGGCATGAGTCAGTGCAGCTATTAAAATAAAACAGGATTTTACAACTTTGGATGTAGAGGGAAACCATTGCAATATTTACATAATAACATTTCCTCTTCACCGAACTTTCCTCTCTATTATTATTTTATTTTGTTTTATTTTGTTTTGCAAGTTTACAAAAATAATTCAATTTTTACTTGAGTTGATTAAAAGGCTTCAGTTAGCTGTGATAACCTCGGCTGACCTCACTTCCTCCATCCTGCTCTTCATCCATCAGCTCCACACAGAGCACAGGTGCTCGTTAACCTGACCATCTCATCTTCACGATGTGCACGTTTGCTCTGACATCAGATGGACTTCCTGATAAAACCCTCCCAGTTTATCTGAACACTGGCTCGTGGTCCCCGTGTGGCTGGGTTAAGAGACTTTGTGATATTATGAAAATAATAAATATAAGACAACAAAAGGGAGATAAACAGTATTCAGTCTTCATAATGCGGGAAATTTTGTACAAAAAAGGGAAAAAGTGCTGATAAAATGTTTCAGTTTAAAACTTTTTGGTTTTTCCAGCATCTCACCAGCGCAGCTGAAACATGTCGATTAGATCTGATTAGACTTTTATTGTGAAGTATTACTTTATATTCTTTTATTTTGGTATAAGTTTGTTTTTTCTGACAGTCAGCTGACTGATGAATGGACCAGCTGAGGTTTGCATTCACACTGATTGTTCCTGCAGGGACTCGTCTGATCCTCGTGCTCTGCAGATCAATATGTTTATTGATTTCATGACGTTTTATTGGTGCTTCATGGAGCTGTTGTATAACTTTAATGAAGGACCTCCTCAGAGTCTGCGAGGGGAGAGCTGCTGGCCCACTTCATTCACAGCAGGCTCGGGATCGCATTAATGCTCCATCTTAAAATGACGACTCGACACTGGTTTGTTTATTAGAACTTTGACACCAAAGCATCGGTGCTGGCTGATGTTGTGTTTTTATGAAGGATCTGCAGGACGAACACAGTTTGTGTGAAATGTGAGCATGCTCTTACTGAAGGGAGTCAGCTCCTGGGTGGACTCAGAGATTCAGAACCATCTGTACCCCAGAGACACAACATCTGAGCTACAATGTATGAATGATTGAAAATGATGCGCTGGACCGAGAAGGCTGGTTTAGACTTCTTTGTCCATCCCTGTTGTGGGAGACAATCAGCAATGCAGGAACGTGCTGCAGCAACATCTCTAGAAACCATTACACCTGTGACACCTGTATCACATATTATACACCATATATAACGTCATATCACCTGGGTTTGTTGAGCAAGGTTTACTACACTGTGTAAAAGTCCCAAAGTTACCGTTTTGATGCAGGAAGGAAGAAGCAGAGTGTAGCATGTTTCAGGTGTGTGTGAACCTGCTGCGGGGACAGAACAGCACAGGTGAGTGTTTAATGGTCACAGTGCAGACTTCCCAGTCCTGAGCACGAGTCTGTGCGTCATGCAGACCGGCCTCACCTTCACCTGTGTGATCGGTGCACGCACTGAGTGGGATAATAATTGGCGGCTGATTAGTGTGCACAGGGACCGACACAGAGGCGGCTGCAGGGCCCAAGGTGTGAGCGCCTGAACGAGTCCCTCGGCTCGGTTCTGTTTTTC